ACACACACACACACACACACACACACACACACACACACACACACACAAAAACCCCAAACCTGCCACAAATCCTCACTTTTTCTGCAGTTCATAACCACAAGTTTCTCAGCAATACCTGAACCAACACAGACAGGATCTTGAGACAGAGAGGAAGAAATGAGTGTGTGTACACCTGCCCCACTGGAGTGTCCTATATCCACATCATCCACAGGACCAGATGAGGAGGTAGGACCACAGTCAGGGTATAGCCAGAGTGACCACAGGTCAAGAGTATGCAGGCTGGCACAGGTCGTCCCTGGCTGGATGCAAGATGCACAGCCATTCTAAGGCCACGGCAAAAAGCTATCCTCTTGTGACCATAACGACTTCCTTTTGAGCGTTCCTTGGCCCACGAAAACATGAAGAAACAGAATTATATGTTAATGCGCTGAACAGTTAAGTGACCAAAAATGGTGTCAGCGTAGGTTCTACGAAAACCTTCAGCCTTTGTGGGTGGAAAAATCACACAACTAATCCAGTTGCTGAATCCTACCATGGACACGACTAGGCTAGTAAATGGAATGCTTTGTTTATGACTATCCTAGAACATCCTAAGGCCAGCATATGTGCCCAATATACAAAACTACCAAGGGGTGAGGGCACTAAATGCCGAGGCATCCACCATGGGCTACCCCGCCAGTGTCACCTCTAAAAAGTGCGGTTCTAAGGCTGTGCCATTGAACGTCAGTCTCTCCAGAGTTTGTGGATACACCGCAGTGAGAACGAATTCCTGGGTCAGTTTCACTCTCTCCTAGCTTAGCAGATGGCTGCGGAGGAAAAGGGAAACATGGCAGGAGTTCCCTCTCTTTAAATATCTGCCTTTGTTTGCACCTAGAGAGGATTTCAGCTACGACTGTGGAGGAATCAATGGTCTCAGGAGAAGCAGTGCTTTCCTAGAGCGAGTACTATGTGGAGTTCAAAAGAAGACAAAACTGAAGGCAGCAAATGCTGATGCAATTCATCTCTGTCCTACACAGATGGTTTACACAGGGGCAAACCATCATGTCATTGTAGTTTTGTGACTTAAACCCAGGACCTCACAATGTGCTAGAAATGTGCCCCAATGCTTAGCTACAACCAGGCCTGTTTATTTATATTAAAATATATTAGCTGTTTGATGGAAAAAGAAAGAAAGGAAAAAAGTGCTGTTCTCTCTCCTGGGCCCCATGAGATTAGGAAAGAACTAAAGCAAGTATACAATCAGAGCTACTGAGAAAGTTTGACCTAGTTAATTTTTGTTATCAATATGGTACAGCCTAGAGTCTCCCGTAAAGAAGGCATCTCAGTTGAAGAATTGTCTTGATCAGATTGGCCTACAGCCTTGTCTACAAGAGACTCTTGATTGATGATTGATGTGGGAGGGTCCAGCCCACTGTAGGTGGCACCATCCCTAGGCCTGGGCTATAAAAGGAAGCTAGCTGAATCAAGGTAGATGGTTCATCAGTTAAGAGCACTTGTTACTTTCCCAGAGGACCTGGGTTCAATTCCCAGCACCTGCATAGCGGCTCACAACCATCTATAACTCCAGTTCCAAGAGCTTTGAGAACCTCCTCTGATCCCTGTGCGTATCAGGCATGCACAGAGTACACACACACAAATGTAGTCAAAACATTCACAAACATCAAACAAAACAAATACTCTTTTAAAACTATTATTTTTAAGAAAGCTAAAAAGTGAGCACTCCTCCATGGTCCCGCCTCTGGGCTTCTGCTTTAAGTTCTTGTCCTGATGTCCCCTCTCTCCTTCTTGTGTTTGGAAGCGAGATCTCTGTATGTAGCCCGTGCTGGCCTATAGCATGAAATCGTCCTGTCTTAGTCCCTAGAGGACAGAATTACATGTCACCATTCCTGGGTTAGCATGAATACACTGTATGCATATGCCACCTGTAATCACATTAATGTTAATTATCCACAGTTGTCTAAGTGTAGTATAGACATCCCAAATAAGAATTGCTTCTTGGGGCCAGAGCTATAACCCAGTGGTTAAGAGCAGTTGCTGCTGCTGCAGATGCCTAGTGCTCTGCTCTCAGCAGCCACATGGCAGCTCACAAGCACCCTTAGGTCCACTTCCAGGAAACCCAGCACCATCTTAGGGCTCCATGGGCACCAGGCACACATATGGCGCACATACCTACAAAACATGCATATACTTAAAGCAAAAGTAAATGAGTGCTTTTTAAAAAATGATTAGCCTTTTCTTACACTTACAATAACATCTAACCACATATGATACAGCATGACTAATTATAAACTCGAGAGCATACAGAATCATTTGTCACGTCAGTTGGAGTGACTGACTTCTGATGTCAGAAGGAATGTTGGCCTTCTCCCTGCTTCCCCAGTTTCCCCGTTTACCACCCTGCCAGATCCCTCAAGGCAGGAAGGATAAAGAAAAGCAATGGCATTTGGACCAAAAGGGTCATTTCACTGTAATTAAGTGTTTGTGTGAGATTATGGGATGAAATTAAATAAAGATGATTAGGCATACCACAGATCTTATATATAAAAGAGGTTTATAAGGTGGATATGGAGAGAGATCGAGAAGGGAGAGCAGGACATGATTGGGGAAGGAAAAGAGAGAGAAGGGGAAAGAGAGGGGGGTGCCCCATAGAGAAAGAACCAGGAAAGAGACTACGTGTCGGGTTGCCCTTTAAGGGGCAAGGTAACTATGCCTTCCAGGTGTGGCCATCTGGCCAGCGACACATGATGACACCATAAGTTTCTAAGCAACCCAGAAGCAGGTTTTGTTCCAAAATCCTAACAGTTTGTTTGTTTATTAAGATACAGGATGACCTCAAATTCATGGCAATCCTCCTGCCTTAGCTTCCCAAGAAATGGGATTACAGGAGTGAGCCACCACACCTAGCTTTTAACTGGTTCTCTTTTTTTTTTTCCATAAAATGAAAACTTCAGAAACTGGTCACTCAGCTCTCTTGCCACCATCACTGTAGAGCCCCCCAATGAACAATTGTGGCATCTCATCTTACTCATCCGACGCCTTTCCCAAGGTCACATCTCAAACGTGTGCAGCATCGCCAAACCCAGCTGAAGGACTCTGTAATGAGGCAACGGCCCAGGGCGTTTGCTGCACATAGAACTCATCCCGTTCTTTCTAGTTTGGTCACCACATGCCACACTGTTCTCTGAACAGCTCTCCTGGGGCCATGCACGTTGCCAGGCTCTACTCCTGGGGTTTCTGGGCACAGACTCATCTTGAGAATATGTGCTCAGCATCTGCCCAGTGGGGACTCATCACCATTCTGTGAGAAGCCACATGAGCTGGAGGCTTTAGTATCAGTAAATGACAACTGAAATGAAACAATGAAATGAAAACTGAAGTTGAACCCTCACTTGCATATATGAAATAGAACGCTACATGTCAGAAAATTACACACAAAATTTCCTAAAACTCAATGGGAGTCAGATCAGGCTCTGAAGCATATGTTTTACTTTAATTACTTAAATAAAATTCTACATGGGATCTGCCGATAATATTTTCTTGATATGTAGACATTTTAACTGTATTTGTAGTTTACTTATATAACACAAACACAGAAGTCAAACACTGAGAGACTGTGGTCTCTGCTTCTCTGAGTTGATGTTTTACTCCGTTTGAAAACCTGTACAGCCGAGGAAAACTGCTTTACTGGCAGATGTGCCTGACACACAGGAGGCCACAGGGTCTGAATAGTGAATTCAAGGGCTGCTGAACAGCGTGCACTAGACTGAACCAGGTTCTATTCAGAACAAGTTTGCTTCTAGCCACAGCAGGAAGGAGTAAATCTCCTTGTAAAAGGGTGTCTCCACCTGTCCTGTTCAGATACAAGTAGGACAGAGGTTTAAATCACCACATCATCAGAAAGGCCAGCAGCTGATGCAATCAACTGTTTTAGGTAAGAATTAGAATACCATCCATACGTTAAAAAATAAAAACCAACATTAGAATATTAGAAGTCAGCTGTGGGACTCGGCAGTTCAAGTATAAAGATGGAAAGTTTACAAGTTCAAGGCTAGCCTGGGCTGCATAGCAAAACCTTGTCTCAGGAAATAAAAGCAACAACAAAAGAAATGCAAGAGAAACAAAAATCCATGGACTGCTAGCTCTGTGCTGCCTAAATCTATGTTGGTCTTCATTCTCCTGATCCAACCCTGGCTCTAACTCCATGTCCTCAAGTTTTCACTAGGAAAAAAAGGTGTTAGCTACCAACCACCATTACAAAACAATGAACAGATTCGTGCACCATTTAGTTCTGGAATAATGACACATACCTTGACAAGAAAGGCCCTGTCCCAAAAGTACTTCCGGAAGAGTTTGATATCTGCCTCCAACAGATGCTCGGCTGTGTGGTTTACAGTCAGAGTCAATGTTTCTGATGAATGAACTAACTGCAGAGAGGCATCTTCGTTGAGATGCAGTCGAGAGAAGGCTGGGGACCGCCTCTCCTGAAAACTGAAACATCACAAGTCAAAACCTGCACAGCTCCCCAGATCCCACCCTTCATCCTGCCCTGATATTACAAATCCAGATGGAAGATGATCCTTAAAAGTCACTTACACACTCAGGCACACAAGCTCGTGTAAACAGATTCCGGTCAAGCCCTCTTTTTCCACCTACCAGTGTTGGTTGTTGTTGTTGTTTTTAAAGTTTACATGTTTTAAAGGTTCTTATAAATAACGAAACAGTGCTGATTTTTAAGCATAGAACGTTACCTCACTGTTCCATTCGCCTTTTAATCAGAAAAGATGCCTCTCCCTTTAACGGAGCTCATGGAGAACAAATTAGCTAGCAGCCAATAGTTTGTTAGGTGATTATAATGGAAAACAGACAGAATCTCCAGGGAGTGTGGTGAGGTTTGGCCGCGACAAACAACTGGTATATTCCTAACACACTGGTACCACTGTGCTAAATGACTTCCTCATGCAAATTAGAACGTGCATGAATCTGATTAGGTCATAGCCTTGAACACACTCGTTAACAAGGAAACAATATACCCAAACTAAATTCTTGAATATAAGCTTATTTTCTCATCTGTTTTGGCTAAGGACAACTGTGTTAACGGCACACCTTGTCGAAAGCTACAGTTACAGCAGTAGAGGTGCACAGCTTATAAGAGTATACAGCTTATACTTACAGCTTACAACAGTAAAGATGCCTTGGGTGAACAGTATTCGTGTTCATCATGTGGTCACGTCCTACAGACTATCCCCAGATCCCTCACTTCACAGAACCAGCTCTGCCCCTTCCTCTGGCCTGGTCTCATTATGCTAGTCAATGTTTGCTTTATAGAAATATATTAAAGGGCCTAGAGCTTATGGCGACTTGACTTCTAATTTGTCACTGCTGTACTGCTGGTAGAAGACACATGAATTCATTAGGTTACTTTCAGGCTTTGTATCTTGATTTTGCCCATGTTAGAGGGATTCACACATGGTATATTACTCTCTCCAGATGCTAACCAGTGGCAAAAGGCATCATCCCGCAGTCTGCCACACAGTGAGGCTAAAAACCTCCTTTCCCATGGTGGACAGTGTCGCCCAGTGCTGTATAGGAGGCTAGGAATAATAAATGCACTGGCAACTTGGCATATTTTCAACCTAAAATAGGTTCATAGAACACACCTCTGAATTGACTCATTCCACGATATGGAGTGAAAAATGAAATTCATAAGAGCAGTTATACTCAAAGACAAAGTCCTTACACTAATTCCAGAATCTTCCAGAAATAAGTCCTCATGCAACAAGCCACTGAAGCGAACGGACCATGAGCCCCGGCAGCAGTATAGCTGTTGTTATGCAGACATCCTGGAGGACGCTTTTGCACACTGTGTATTCAAATGCAGATTTCTGTACCCAGAGAGCTGGTTACAGTCCAGACCTCCTGACTCAATATTCTGCAAAGGCTTTTCTCCATCACCTACTGATTGGTCCAATAAAGAGCTGAATAGTTGGGCAGGAAAGGATAAGGCAGGACTTCCAAGCCCACTGAGGGGGTCTCAGGTGGGGACTGAAAAGAAGAGTTGCCATGAGAACACAGATGGAGAAGGAGTAGCCAGGGCAGGACTAAGATGGCAGGTAATGGGCTATTACTGGTGGATTAGAATAGCTCAGAATCTACAGAGCTGTAGTGCCTGAAGCCTTTAATAAACATGACAGGTCTCCATGTCAGTATTCAGAACTAAGGCAGTCATAGAAACACTTCATTTACAGACACTCCATCAGATGATCATGTATAACTATATAATCAGATATGGGCCTACTTTTAATTACATGTATGAACAGGCCTATTAAACATGCAAACTTTTAAAGCACACAGTTTCTGCTGGGGCTGGAAATACGAAGGAGGTACAAGGCAACCAGCAGATGAAGGCGTCCACCTCCAGCGGGAACACTGCACCAGATGCCGTAACCCAGTCAAAGGGGCTGTGTTCATAACCAAAGGGTACAGACGATTCCTGCTGGAGAGGCTTGCCCCTTGGTTAATGACTATTTGATCAAATAAGGCAGGAGAGGAGAAAGAGAAAGTTCTGGTTTCTGCCTAATGGCCACTTAGGCATCAGATTACCATTAATTAATTGCCTCAAATTAATTACATTGAGTTTATATGAGCCAAACAAGAAAAACCATCCCTGTAATAATACTCTAACAGTATTTAAAATTCATGTTGCAACTTCCAGTGCACTTTTCTGTTTATAAATTGTATTTTATCATGGTATATCAGGGCAATTGCTACACATGACTCCTTCTTGCATAATTTAGAATAGCAATTCATCTGAACCAAAGAGGCACACGACCCACTGGCCAGTCACGGGGAGTGTTGAGAACATTACCCACACAGACAACTTCAGTGTTAACAGACTACCTCCCTTACCTTAGTGCATTGAATCCTAGTGCCTACCCCCACGGGGTTTGCCTGTTAGTCTTACAATGAAAAGCATGGCCTTAGTATCGGACTAGAAGTCGCCCAGTAAATAAAGCAGAAACAGTCCCATCTCTCAAATGATTTAAAAGATAGCCCAAAAGTAAATGGTCATATTTGTGTAATTATAAATTGTGATTACTGCTAGGATTAATCATAGTCATAAAAGGACATAACATGGAAGATTTGCTGAGAAAATGATATTGAAGCTATAACCTGAAAGATGAGGTAGGCCGCTATGTGGCTAATCCTTTTATTTCATTATCTCCTGTCTCACCCTCACAAAATATTCCCCAACAAAGTTATCCGCTTATACGCTAGCTACACACATATATGTACTGCATACAAGAAAACCAGCTATAAAGATAAAAAACATAAGCCAACATTAGCAGACGGTTTACTTATTTCCATTTCCCCACAATGCTTGGCAGGCTTTATACAGACATGGATTAAGAGACAGTATCAAGCAACTGAACTCACCCTGTGATGCCTTCCACCAGCGTGGAGTGTCCACCACGCAAAGCTAAGTCTAATGGTGTGCTGCCTTCTTCATTGGGTAGCTCCAAGGCCTTGACTCCTCCAGGGAGACACAAGAGGAACTGGAGAAACTTGGGCAGGCCCCATCTCACAGCCAGGTGCAGTAGAGATTCTCTGTGTGGAGACACTGAAGAAAAGGGGAACCATAATGTTAGTTTCTCCATAAAGTTTGTTTTACACATTTTACTAACGGGATGATGTATTGGCTATAACAGAAGCATCAGAGCTGGAAGGAATCAAAAGAAACTCATCCTGACCTCACGCTCTATGAACGGTGAGCAGTGCTGGGATTTGCTGGATGTCATGGAGCCAGAGGGCACTAGAACTAGGCTGCTCATGGCTGGCAAAATCTCTTTCCGTCCACACTTCTACACCTTGCTGCCATATGTCACTAAGGATGAAGGAACATCACCCAAAGATACAGGTTCCCAGGAAAGCTCATCCTTTAGAAATACACTCGTCAACTTCCAAGGTATCCAAACAAGAAGATCCTGCCACCCAGGCAGGGCAGGCTATCGAAGCCAAGAGCATAAAGAAACCTGTTTCCACCATTGGTCCTCAGAGGCGATCCTCCCCTTGAGAGGCTGTGTTGGAAAGCAGCTTCTTAAGTCCAGAGCACTTCTGACCACAGTCTGTCCCCAGCTGTATAGCGGTGCCTTTGCCCAGCAATCAGATCCCTGGGAACATCACAGTGCCAAAGAGCTATACCACAGCGAGGCCTTCCCCTGCAGATGCCCATCCTTGGCAGCCTTGTGCTGTTTTCCACTGTGCTGTTTACTGCTGTGCGTTAGAATCATTTCCTGACTTTCACTGTATAGGCTGACAGGCCCCTGGAGGCTTCCTTTTTTAACAGTAGCTGGTAATGCAAAAAGCCGTAAGTGCTTTCAGAGTTTAAACGTGATTAGCTATTAAAGTCTCAATTTTGTATGTATGTTTACTTCCTATGTAATTTGTAGAGTGCTTGTACATTTGTGTCCCTACTTTAACAACCCAGTACTTAGGACATAGGTGGTTCATGACAGACACTGTATTGCAAATATGTAAAGTATAAATACATGTTCTTCCATTAAAAAGTTAGACCCAAGCTGGCTGTGGTGGCCTGTAATCCCAGTACCCAGGACTCTGAGGCTGGAGGTTCACTTATGCTTTCAAACTAACCTGGGCAACACAGCAAGATGCAGACTACATACAGACAGACAGACAGACACACACACACACATATGCCAAGCCCACGAACTCAACATGCATGGTCACACTTTAGAGACAGCCCCAACATGAAAAGCTGGTCACTATGGATCTGTTGTGACAAGCAACAGACAGTGGGGGTCTAGTAAGTAATGATAACAACTATATTCATAACCCGAGAGCTAAACAGTGGAAAGAAAGGCCCGACAGGATAAGAACCTTGTCTTCTGTCCTGTGAGCTCCCTTGAGCATCACAGCGGGTGGCATGCTTGCTGAGCGACTATGGATGGGATGAAGTTACACATGAATGGCAAATCCCTGTGGAACCTGGCTTTCTGTCTTTACGGATACCCATCAGCTTCAGTTCTGTCTCAGAGAGGTCCTAAATGAAATCTCTCAACACAAACTGTATACTCCCAGTTGGCACTCCCACATGCATGTAGGACATTAAGGACAAAAATGCCAGCTTCCCACACAGCTCACTGTCCACAAACCATGATCTTATTGTTCCACTGTCCTCATTAACATAACTGCACTACTGCCAGAGACTTTTGCCCAGGCAAAGCAGTGGCTGCTTACTGCAGAAATGTCCTACAAGACTCATCAACCCTTCAGCAGGAACCACTGACAGACAGTACAGAGAAGCCCTAACTTCAATTTTAAACTATCATGATCCTTGCCAACTCCCAAGGAGGCCTCTTCCAAGCCTGCCGTTCCCCCTCACCATCACTAATCCTACCCCCACAATGAAAACTCTCTAAGTCAAGCTGCAATTGCTCAATGGATTTCTCTTTTGCCACTCCCAGCCCCTGAAGCCACTAAGGGTTTGTGGCAGTGTTAGCAACTCACTACGATGGCAGTAAACACGGCTCTGTCTTGTCAGTGTTGAAAAGTATTTGTGGAGGGAGCATTGAACAAACCCCAGAACATCAGAAGAAATATCCTACTGTGCACGAATACAAAATAAGTTTACTGCTCAGCTTACATTTTCACAGGTCTATCCTGCTCTCTTTACGTCTACATCAGTGACTACAGGGCTATACATTTCAAATGGATAAGGACCTATACCTAGGTCCTTACCACAGTCAAGTACAATCGAGTTTCCTGCACATTTCCCATCATTTGTCCTGTGACAAAGCCCACATCACTCCCCCCACACAGTGAAATAACAGCCCAAATACCAAAACATCTAAAAACAAACCTGCAACCTGGCTGCACACAGGGACCACACATTTGCTTAACGTGCTTCATCTCATCTTCATGAAACTCCCAAGGCTTGTTGGCTTTTTCTCGACAGGTGCTGGAAACTCAACCTAATGCCTCACGGACATGAGGCACAAAAGAATCGATCTTTCTGTTACCCTTGAAGTTATGATCATTAAACTTTCTTGACTAAAAAGCATGGCTTTCATTCTTAACAGATTCCTAGCAGCACAAGTCTGATGCCATTTGTACTTATTTTTCCTACTTAAATAACAACCAGGAAGAGACATATTAGGATCGGGTAACAAGACAAACATACGCCTGCACATACATACACACACACACACACACACACACACACACACACACACCTGCACATATACACTGGCCAGTGGAGGGGAACCTATCAGCATGAGATATTGAACAGCCACATGAAATGGAATTTTTACCTCACAGACCCTAATCTGAATATGGTGAGAAATGTTTCATGTTTGCACAGGTTGCAATTTTCTTCCAAGAAAAATACAGAAGACAGAGAGAGAGAGAGAATATCTAAACCCTTAGTGTTTTAATAGTAGCATTGGTAAAGGCAAGCATAGGTTCAGTTAGGTTCCTTAGAGTTATATTCTTTCCATTATATTCCTTAGAGTATGTGCTGCAATGTTCAAAAACTGGGGAACTGTTGACTATGTTCAGCTGACTAAGAAGAGTGTGTTGGGGGTGGGGCTTGTTTCCTCTGGAAACTCATAGGCCTGTAGGACTAGCCTCAGGCACCCAACTCTCTATTTCTGGTGGGAGAGGGACCCATCCTCACACTCTTCCCTTCCCCCTAGCCACAGAATGTCTCCAATTCTGGAAGAGGAAGAAGAAGAAAAGGCAGCAAAAGACACTTCAGGTGGTTAAGGAAAGCATGTCATGAAATTACCAGACTGTTAAAGAGAGCACAAGCTCATTCAGTCTAAAGTCCAGCACGAAGAAGGGAAACAGCTTGAAACAGGAAGCATCATGACATATAAATAATTCTGCTTGTTAGAAGGTTCAGATTTCTCAGCAGCAGCCAAGAAAACAAACTGTGGAAAGGGGTCATCCAGTCCAGCAGAGGTAGGGCTGTTTAATTAAAATGAACAGAAGAAAAAAGAAGCAAATAAATGTCTCTTCGTGTTTGTTTTGTTAGTATCAGGAGTTATCTGAAGTGATGCGACCAAGACAGAATTAATAATAATTGCTCTGATGGTGCACGTTAATACAGACTTCTACCATGCTGGGAACACAATCACCCAGAGAGAGGAACTGAAGAGGCTGTGACTGTCAATAAACCACTCCTGTTTCAGAACGGTGAGGGCCCATCTGCCCCTAACATGGAACAAAGCCTGGTTTCTACACGCCCCCCTCTGTGGGGCATCAGTTTCTTCACTTATTAAATGGAGGCTGGCACACACAAAAGGGATCCAGCTGATCCAGGCTCATTGCCATGACCAAGCAGCCGACCGGCAGCAACTCACAGGAGGAGAGATTGACTGCAGCACCTGGTTTGAGAAGACACAGTCCTTCTTGGCAGGGAGGGTGTGGCGGCAGCAGGAAGAAGTGCCTGCTCGCTTAGTGCTTACAATCAGGAAGTAGACAGAGGCCATGGTGGTGCTCTGCTGGCTTTCTCCTTTTCTGTCAGAACGATGACACCTGTGTCAGGGTGGGTCTCAGCTCCCGAATTAATCCTCTGTGGACATGCCGAATGACATGCCCCACTACTGTCCCAGGTGTTTCTTAACCCCATGGGGTTGACAATTGAAAGTAACCACTGTAAGTCCACTCCGTCTCAGCATGACACCCAAACACATCACTTTTAAATTCAAACAGTCCAGCCATCCTCAAAGGATCATGGCTGTCCTACAATGTAAAGTATTTTAGTTTACCTCCAAAAGGCTCTTACGTTTACCAGTTCCAGCATTATTCAAAAGCGCAGAGTCCAAAATCTCGTCTGAAATGCAAACAAATCTAACTGTGAGCCTGAAATAAACCCTCTAAAATTAAATATATATATATATACACATTTTTAATATACAGTGTTGGAAAAATAAATATCCCCATTCCAAAATGGAAGAACAGGGGTACACAAGGAACTATTAGATCAAAGGAAGACTGAAACACAACAAGGCAAATACCAAAACCTAGGTGAGGTTTATGATAATGTCCGTGGTGCTCCAACAGGCAGAGAGCAGCAGGAGCCCTGCTCCTCCAGCCTTGTTCTCTGAGCCTTTCTCTTAGACTGCCTGCACTCCGTACCTAGAGCTTTACAGTGTAGATGTCCAAAATTCTTTGGCATTTCCAATATCATGTTGGCTCCTTGCAAATTAGGCTCCACATTCACAGCTTCACATACCCTTGCAGGTAATCTGTCCCATCACACTAGGCCTTAGGTGCATTCTGAGACCTTGGGGAAAGCCCACATGACTCTCTCACTCGCACATCTTCTAAGACATGGAGTTGTGCCAGGAGCTTAAGACGTAGCCTGGCCCTCCGGCCCAGAGCTACATCAGCTTCTGTGTGGCTGATCTCTCTGTGTCTAAAAAGCCAGCCCTGGGATATACTTGTAGGCAGTCCTGGGCTTTCTTTCCCATTGTCCTCAAGACACCTTCCCAGTATAAAGTCTAGGGTTTCTCCTTAATGGCGCTAATCTCTAACGTTCGCAGCCACTTTGCCAACCCCCACCCAAGTTTAAGTGGCTTTCTTCCTTAACAAACT